GAGGCCAGGCCACACATTAGGAGATATGCTATACTGTAAAGCAAAAGGACACTGATTTTTCATCTCATGTTCTTCCCCTCATTTGGTGGTTTCTTTTGCTGTATCTGAAATCCTGAACTCTGCAGCAGAGACAGGAAACCAAGTGCATTATTCTGGGATGCATGAACCACCAGGATTAGATGGAGACTTTCCTTTCAACCTCCCTCAATCCCACACTTAGATATACTGGCTGACCATCTCTCAGTATCATACCTTGATTAAGCAAATGCCTTTTGGCTCCCTGATGGGATTTCTCCACTGAACTGGACAAAGACTTCTTTTGGGAAATTACTGAAAGAACATGAGAGAATATCTGAATACAGGAAAAAACGTAGCATCTATAAATATATAACCTGGGGTGGAGCTTCCCAGTTGTGGCACGTGCACTGCCAGTGGTACACAGAGGAATTCAGGATGGCATGAAGGTATTTAATGAATATCTGAATGCCTCTCCTTGCCATAAGAAGCATGGCCCAAGATGGAGGCATGAACTAATAAACAGCTGCCTCTGCCATCTCTGCCTCCAGGTGAAACTTGAGCACGCTGGAAGGAAGCAGAGCTCCCCATCCTGTCTTGCACCAAGGAATAAATGCTTTTGGTCCTGAAGTCCCCGATTTTCCTTCAAGGCTAGCCACCAGTTATAAATGCCMGGGGTCAAGCAGAGCCACCGAGCACATATGTGAAATCCTCATGAAGCAATAAGGCTTTTAAAATTTTCCCTTCTAACTGCATTTTCTTGTATTTTAAATAAGCATATGTTAGCCTGGAGACTTCTGTCTTCTGTAGAAAGCTGTTAGCAACACTGTATATCTCACTCATTCCAGCATATTTTACTTCCTGCAAATGTTGACAACCCTGTGAGAAGCAATGAGGATCTGTGCTTCTGACCATCACCTGTCAAGGAGGAATCCAGAGAGGAAAGCCAAGAAATCAGGGATGAGGAATGGATGGGAGACACTATTTTGGCTCATTTGTTTCATCTGCCAAAGACAAACAGAGCTGCAAAATTGGCAGCAGAAGAGAGGGATGACTCCCATTCCTCTCCAGTCAATCCAGTGAATAATTAATGCACTTTYATTTAGTATATAGCGGTATACTTTTTACAATACATGCTACTAGTGCAGCTATTGAAGAACCATCGTATTAAAGATGCATAAACAGATGAACTGCAGGAAGCCAAGAACATGGTTAAAAATTCATGGCATGCTTTGGAGCAGCAGTGGCTGCGCACTCTGCAGCCGTCAGGAAGCTGCCATGAGCCTCTCCCTCCCGCTCCGCMTAAGAGTGCTCATCAGAAAGAGGCGGCATCGGCCTGTTTCACAAAAAGTAAATTTACGAGGAACACAGAAGCCCAGAAAGGTACTGTCCCGGTCTTTAC